AATAGGAGAAGAAGGTGAAAGCAGTGAGTCGATGGCGAGTACAATACAAGTTGGTTTTTAGAACACTAAGATTAGTGTGGTGAAGTATGACAGCAAAATCAACTTTGGTTTGTGGATGAGCGATGTACATAATGCGCTCAATGCTCAGAATTTGGAAGAGACCATCATGGTCCACGAGAGGCCACCAAAATATAATGAGACGATATGAGAGAAGATGAATAGGAACGCGTGTGGGGTGATCAGGTCCTGTTTGGAACATGAACTGAAATATAATGTGATTGGAGTGACGTCTGCAATGAAGATGTGGGAAATTCTCAACAACAAGTATCTCACAAAGAGTGTTGAGAAAAGGTTGCACTTGCTGCGAAGACTCTTCAGATTTCAGATGTCCAGAGGCACCTCACTAGCGGTGCATGTGAACAACTATACTAAGTTGTTATCAGACTTAGCAAATGTTAATGAGAAGATTTCGGATGAGTACAAGGCTATTATCTTATTGGGCTCCTTACTGGATGAGGAGTATGACACATTTGTGCTCACTTTGTTGAATGGGAGATCTTCTATCAGCTATAGTGAAGTAACTAACGCTTTGACGAACTATGACTTGGGGAGGAAGGACAAGGAGACTTCCCGCACTAGTACTTCAGGAGAGGCCTTGTCGACAAGAGGTAGAAGCCCATATCTGAAAGGTAGTAATAAAGGGAGGTCAAAGTCAAGGAGCAGCCACCAATTATCAAAGAACCAATGTGCATTCTGCAAGGAGCAGGAACATTAGAAGAGAGACTGCCCGAAGCTCAAGGAGAAAGAGAATGCCAAGAAAAAGGGCCCAAAGGCCAATGAGGTGAATATTGCGAAAGGCGATGATTCTGATGATTCGTGCTTTTCTCTATTGATTACTCCGAAGGTGAACCATGTGGATGCATCAGATTGGATGCTTGATTTCGGCGCTACTTATCATGTGACCCCTAGGCGAGACTGGTTTGTATCTTTTGAGAAAGTCGACGGGGATGTTGTTATCATAGGAAATGATCAATCCTATGACGTTTGTGTGATAGGTACCGTGCGGATTAGGATGCACGATGGAGTAGTTCGTGAGTTGAAGGAGGTGAGATTTGTTCCTCAACTGAAGAAAAATCTTATCTCAGTTGGAGCTTTGGAGGCAAAGGGATTCAAGGTGACTTTCAAAAACGCTGTAGCGAAGGTTACTAAGGGATCATTGGTGGTGATGAGGGGAGTCCGAAATCAGAATTTGTATTATCTGAAAGGAAGCACCGATATTGGCCAGGTTGCTTCGGCTATTTCAGAAGCGGACATGAATAGACTTTGGCACTATAGGTTAGGGCACACAGGTAAAAAGTCACTGTAGGTATTGTGTAAGCAGGGGCTATTGAAGGGAGCCGAGAGTGGGAAGATTGAATTTTGTGAGTACTGTGTTCTTGACAAAAAGACAAATGTAAAGTTCGGGACTGCCATTCATCAGACGAGGGACATCCTGGACGTTTGGGGTCCCAACAAGACTGCATCACTTGGTGGTCGACATTGGTTCATCACGTTCGTTGATGACTATTCTAGGCGATGTTGGGTGTACACCATGATAAAGAAGAGTGAAGTCCTAGATTTGTTTGTGGAGTGGAAGAAGAGATTGGAACTGCAGACTGAGAGAAAGATCAAGACGTTATGATCCGACAACGGTGGTGAGTATACTTCTGACCCCTTTCAGCAGCTATGTCGAGACGAGGGCATAGAGAGACACTACACAGTTAGTCATACACCGCAGCAAAATGGGGGTGGCAGAGAGGTTGAATCGGTCTTTACTGGAGAAGATCTGATGCTTATTGTCGCAGAGTGGTTTAGAAAAGATCTTTTGGGCTGAGGCACTTACATATGCGAGTTACCTCATTAATAGGCTGCCTTCATCTGCGATTGAGGGAAAGACCACTATGGATATGTGGTCAGAAGAGCTAGCACGAGATTATGACCAGCTCAAGGTATTCGGGTGTCCTGCATTTTATCATGTGAGAACTGATAAGTTAGAACCTTGAGCTAGGAAGACCATATTTGTAGGATTCAAGCGTGGTGTCAAGGGATACAAGCTTTGGAATCCAGTTGATAAGAAGATTGTACTGAGTAGGGACGTCACGTTTGATGAGGCTTCTATCTTAAAGCTTCCCAGCTCTCATCAGGTAGAGAGTGACCCGACAGAGAAGATATCGCAGGTGGTGGAGATCGATACAGCTCCACATTGTCCAGATGGTACAGTATCCATTAGAGTATCGACTGAGGTGACGTCAGGCGAGCACGACGACGAGGAGGATACGAGTACAGTTATGCAGGATCAAGGACCGACGGCTCAGGTTCAGGATTCGATTGTGGTTCGGAGACATAGGAGAAACATACAGATGCCAGCACGATATGCCGACACAGTTGCGTATGCACTTCCGGTGGAGAGTATCGATGAGTTGGTGCCTACTACATTCAGAGAGGCCGAGCAGAGTTCGGAGGCTGATTCGTGGTAGGTGACTATGCAGGAGGAGATGAAATCTCTTCATAAGAACGATACATGGGAGCTTGTTGAGCTTCCAAAGGGGAGGAAGGTAATTGGTTGCAAGTAGGTATACACGAAGAAGGAGGGCATTGAGGGCACTCCATTGAGGTTCAAAGCTAGGTTGGTTGCGAAGGGCTATGCACAGTAGGAAGGTATTGACTATAATGAGGTTTTCTCTCCGATGGTAAAGCATTCTTCGATTCGGATTTTGCTAGCTTTGGTGGCACAGTATGGTTTGGAGTTAGATCAGTTGGATGTGAAGACGGTATTTCTTCATGGTGATCTTAATGAAGAAATATATATGACTCAGTGATTGGGATTCTGAACTGTAGGGAAGGAAAAATTAGTTTACAGGTTAAAAAATCGCTATACGGTTTGAAGTAGTCTCCTCGACAGTGGTATAGACGATTTGATGGTTTTATGATTGGTCATTCGTACACTCGAAGCCAGTTTGATCCTTGTGTATATTTTCGCAAGTTGAAAGGAGGTGCGTACATTTATTTATTGTTCTATGTCGATGACATGTTGGTTGTCTCTATTTCCAGGTCGGCTATAGATGAGTTGAAAGTTCAGCTTTCAAATGAGTTTGAGATGAAGGACTTGGGCGAAGCGAAACACATTCTAGGGATGGAGATCGGCAGAGACAAGAAGAAGGGTAGAATTTGTTTGACACATGTGGCTTATTTGAAGAAGGTTCTACAACGATTCTATGTTAGCATGGATACGAAGCCAGTTGGTGTACATTTGGGAGCCCATTTGAAGCTTTCAGCTGGTCTTTTACCGAAGTCAGTTGAAGATCGTGAGTTGATGTCGAAGACTCCATATGCGAGCGCGGTTAGGAGCTTGATGTACGCGATGGTATGTATGAGACCGGATTTATCACAGGCGGTGAGCATGGTTTCGAGATACATGCACGACCCAGGAGTGGGTCATTGGGACGCTGTGAAATAGATTTTGAGGTACATTCAAAGTACGCTCAATGTTGGTTTAGTTTATGAGCGGGACACTGCAGGTGGGTAGTTATGCATTGGTTATGTTGATTCGGATTATGCCGGGGATTTGGATAAGAGCCAGTCTACGACGGGGTATGTGTTCACTTTGACCCGTACGCCGGTGTGTTGGAGATGCACCTTACAGTCGACAGTGGCTTTGTCTATGACGGAGGCAGAGTATATGACAATTACGGAGGCTGTGAAGGAGGCTATTTGGCTTCGAGGACTTTTGGAGGAACTTGGTATATCACAGCGATCCGTCACTATTCATTGTGATAGCATGAGTGCTATCTATTTGGCGAAGAATCAGGTTTTTCATGCGAGGACGAAGCACATTGACGTTCGTTATCACTTCGTTCGAGATATTCTTGAAGATGGCGATGTGGAAATTGTGAAAGTCTACACGAAGGATAATCCGGCGGATATGCTCACTAAGGTGATTCCGAGCAACAAGTTTGATCATTGTAGAAGCTTGTTACACATTCGTGATTGTTGAGGCCGTTGGCGGCCATTTAGGTGAACTACGTTCGGCTTGATTCCTTGGGCAAGAGTATACGTAGGCAGTCTTTCAGATGCAGCCGGTTTGGATTAGTTGATGGGGGTGAGATTGTTGGGACTCTCGTTCGGGTTCTCGACTTGTTATGGATTGAGTTCGTACTGGACACAACAAGTTGGGACATTTGGATGCTTTGGTGTCGGCTCAGTTTTAGAAAAACTTCACCGAGGTGGAGAATTGTGATCACGTGGGTGTGGGGACCACTCACGCTCAAATTGCCCACGAATTACGCGTGTGGCTGCTCCCGTGAACCCGAATTACCAAGGCCCACCCGAATACATCAATATAGGCTGCATGTGCAAAAGAAAAGCAGAGGCTTTTTGGGTTTTGTGCATCCCTTTGAGAGAGATTGTGTGAGTTTTATTTGTGAAATCTTGTGTGTGTAAACCCTATTTGTATTCTCTCTAATAGTAGATTTCCCCACTCCTTGCCCCGTGGACGTAGGCAATTTGCCGAACCACGAAAAAATTGATTGTGCTGCTATTTGTGTGATTTGTAATAGCTTTTAGGTTCCCTCGACAGGTCAGTCCTAGAACTGATGAGAGGAAGAGCTGATATCTCACTTGGTTGAGATATTTTGCTTCAGATTCTTGTTTCCAGCTTGGTGAGACGTGAATTCTTATTGCGACCTAACTCTCTTATTGTGCTGCCGAAGTGCTGCCGAAATTTTCACTGCCGAAGTAAGGTTAAAATTGATTTTGTTTCCTAATCTAAATCGACGCTTAACTTTATTATTTAAAAAGCTTAAAACTAATTATTTTCGGATTTCAGCCAAAATTGTGTATTACTAACGAGATTTTGAAATCTGACAATCCGTTTGACTGTGTCTTGTCGAGAAATCAATGATAAGTATGTATTTGCATTTAGATCATGATAGTCACACTCCTAAATCCGTCTGTTATGCATCCTACATCACATGCACATCCATGGTGAAGAAATTTACCCCAACCGTGCATGAATTCAGAAACAAAGCAGTTGGCCGAGAACTTATGGTCCCAAAACTGGAACACGTTTATCTCGTCCTCCAGTGAGATTGCTGTGCTTTAAATCCTCCACCCTTTGCTAGCTTTTCCTCTTCAACTCAATCCAAAAACTAGAGAGAGAGAGAGAGAGACAGAGAGAGAGAGAGGGAGAGAGGGATCAGATGGCTGATCCAAGCCCTCTTCTCAAGCGTCAAAGTCCGACGACGTCGCCGTCCATCGAAGATACGATCGAAAGCTGCATCGGTCCGTCGGGCCTGGCACAACTCCTCCAGGCCTTCATCATCTCCTTCGCCTGGTTCTTCGATGCGCAACAAACCTTCATCAGCATCTTCGCGGACACGTATCCTTCGTGGCGCTGCACGTACAGTAAATACCCGTCCTGCTCGTCCGCTACTCCCTGCAGCCTCCCTCCGGCCTCCTGGTCGTGGAGCCAGTCGAAAGAGACATCGATAGTCTCTGAGTGGAACCTCGAGTGTGCACCTCCTGCACTCCTCGGCCTCCCTGCGTCGGCTTACTTCTCCGGATGCCTCGCTGGGGGCCTGATTCTCGCGACTTTCGCAGATTCCTGGCTTGGCAGAAAGAAAATGATCGTCCTGTCGTGCCTCACTATGTCAGTGTCCGCGTCGCTGGCTGCGGTATCGCCTAACATATTCGTCTACGCGGCGCTCAGATTTGTGTGCGGGTTTGGTCGGGCGACGGTGGCCACGAGTACGATTGTGCTGTCGACGGAGATCGTCGGGAGGAGGTGGAGAGACCGGGTCAGCAACTTCGGGTACTTCTGCTTTACTCTCGGATTCCTGTCTTTGCCCGGCATGGCTTATTTAGGCAGAGGCTCCTCCTGGAGGAACTTGTACATTTGGACGTCCGTTCCTTCTTTCTGCTACACCGTCCTTATTTGCTTCCTAATAAGAGAGTCTCCGAGGTGGCTTTTAATCCGTGGGCGGAGGGACGAAGCGGTCGAGGCTCTAAAGCGCATAGCCAAATCTAACAGGTCGACTGTCGTCGATTTCACTGTTTCGGACGTTCCGTTCGTCGACGAGGAAAGCGAGCTGAAAAATGTTGGTGTGTATTCAGCATTGAGGATACTGTGGCAGAAAAAATGGGCTTCGGCGGAGACTGGCGGGCAGTTATGACCGTTAGCCTTCGGGCCTCGGAGACGGGTATACTACGGGATGCCGACTAATGTCGGGTAACCCGCCTGAGCTCCGAATTCTATTAGTGTTGCGTCTCCACGCGTATCCGGGAGCTAACGGACTCATTGCTGATCTCCTTCTTTCTAATCGGAAAAGTGAACCGCCGAACGTCGACGTTGGCCTTCACGACGGTGAGCGCAGTGTGCAGCGTATCCTGCGTGTTCCTGCGCGCCAACGGGCTGCAGATGGCCGCCGAAGTGATTTCGTTCTCCAGCGCGTGCGCGGCGCTGAACGTGTTCACTATATACAGCGTCGAGTTGTTCCCGACGTGTGTGAGGAACTCGGGGGTGTCGATGCTGCGGAGGAGAGGAGGAGGGCGGTGTCGTTCGGGGTGTTTGGGCTTCTGGTGGGCTGTTGTGGGCTCTTTACTGTTTGTTTGCCGGAGACGAGAGGGAGGGGGATGAGTGATACTATGGAGGAGGAAGAGGACAAGATGCATGCCGTGTCAGCTAATGTGGATTCCGTGTAGGAGTTTGTTACGGGGGTTTCGGGTGATTAATTAAAAGGTTAGTTTGGTAATTACAACTAATCTATTTTGTGACGTAGAGCACCTCATTTCTCTATGGGTGGTTCTGATGTACGTGTGAGGCATTTTGAAGATACTGAAGAGAGAGAGAGAGGGAGAGAGATGCATACACATACTGTTTTTGGAACTATTTTGCGAGTACAAATTCTATCAGAACACCCCGCTTATAGTGAGGTGGTTTGTACCTTTCGGGGCGGCCGAGAGTTAGTTTGGGAATTCTGATCATCGTTTGGGTGTGTATCTTTCGGAGAAAGTTGTAGGGGAGATATAAAAAGTGAAATGGCAGTATATATATCTAAGCCTCAAAATCTCAGCATATATATGCCCTCTTAATTTCGTCCATTTTTTTCTTTATCTATAACAGGATAGATAATATTTTCATAGGAATTAGCTAACAAATCATGCAGAAGAAGATGATGAATCAATAGTTTTATGAGTACTATAAGTGATTAGTTTGTCTGTCGATGTATGGTAACGGATGCGAAAAATGCTAAACATAACTAGCTACTAAATTCGTACGGCGCGCTAAGCACTTGGTATCATCAACTGCTGCTTTGTAAATTATATTTAATTAGCTGCCTGGATGTTATCTAGCAATTGCGTAAAATGAACCTATAAACGTAGGGTTATTTAGATATTAGTTCCTCAAATCTTCAATAATTTCATAGTAGTCCCTCGCATCTTAATAGTTGCTCAGCAGTCCCTCAAATCCCAGTGCTGTTGCAATTTAGTCCCTCAATGACCAGAGCGGAAATAACCCCCTTTTTGGAGATGAGTTTTAAGAGTAAAATCATAACTAAAGGGTATTTTGGTTACCGAGGGACACAACCGCAAGACCCGTTAGGAAATATAACCGCTTTGGTGTTCTAAAGTTTACAGGTTTTTAATTTTAACACCCCGAAATTTTTTCAACACTTTGATACCCTAAAGTTTGCACCTTTTTTAACTTGGATGCCCTAAAGTTTTTCTCACTCTTTTCTTATGGCAAAGTTTATACCTTTACATTTTGATACCCCTAACTTTAGGGTATCAAAGCTACAAATGTGTAAACCTTAGGGGTATCAAAGTGTCAAAACAGTTTGGCAAAGTTTAAAAAATGCAAATAACCCTTTGAATTACATTAGCTAAGGGTATTTTGGTCATTGAGGGACTAAATTGCAATGACACTGGGATTTGAGGGACAACTGAGCAACTATTGAGATTTGAGGGACTAATATGAAACTATTGAAGATTTGAGGGACTAATACCAGATAACCCGCAAATTTAATAGAAAATCAAATGAAATGGAATTGGAATTTTGAAGTATTAGAGTTCTAAAAAAAAGGTAAGCTTGGGGTACCAAAGTGAAGCTAAGCCTTTTCTTAATACCATTTATATTTTAAAATACGTATAAATAATGCACCAATATTTAGATTAGCTCCTTTCTTTGAGTCTTTATCACCCTCATTTTTCCCCGGCAAATTTCACGGGTACCAAAGTGAAAATAGGCCCACATTTATTTTATTTTATTTTATTGTGATTTTTCGTTTTTCTTTTTCCTCCACCCCTCTCGAGCTGTCGGGATTCAAGGTCCGAGGTTCGATTTCAACTTCTCGATTGCAGAGAACAACAAAAAATTGAGGTTCGACTTCTTACAATTACTCTCCATTTTAAGCAAAAAATCCGCGATCAATTGCACCCCTGTTCTCTGTCAATAATTAGCTTTTTCGGTAAAAGGAATCTCAAAGGTCAGATCTTTGAGTATGAATGCATATTAGTGGAAGAAATTGAGATGGGTCTTCTAAAAATTAGATTTTGGTTTGTGGGTTGTTGAGAAACATGATAATGCGAGCTCATGAATGGTTGCAATTTGATGGTTGTTGCTTTATTTTTTTAAGGGAGAATGAATTGGGTAAATAGGCTTCCTTTATAGGGATAGCTTTATCGCTGATTAATATTAATACTTTGAGTATGTCAAAAATTTCATTTGTAAGTGATTAAGATATTACACGTACGAATAAATTCATTATGTCCAATGATCAATCCTTTTATTGTCACGTCAGTGAAAATCTGTTATGTTAATTGGTGGAAAATATTAGAAGTGACTAATGATCTAATTAGTATTTAATTATATAACCAGTCATCCAACCAATCAAAATATAGGTATGAGCGGCCAAGTATGAGATATCTACAGTGACCAATTATCCAATTAACCCTTTGAAGGTTATAACTTGGACCGAGTTTTAATTATGTTGGCAGCTAAATGAAATTTACAGTTGATGCATTTTCTTTACTGAGCTAGATGCCCCGCGGATTTTTTAACTAAAGAAAATAAAAAAGGCGGAGAAGTACATTATTAGGATTTAGGAGAAGGTAAGAGGCGGGATAATAAGAAGATTTAGAAGAAGAAAAACAAACTAGTCGCTTTTCTAAATTAGGATGTCACGTTGCTCCGGTTTGATTGTCGTACGAGAAGGAAGATGATCGTACAATCTGGTGATGAAGTGAGTATGCATTTCTGAGTATAGGACGACACACTCTCATTTTGTTTATTCAAATGTAGAACTGGCTAACAAGAACTACATATTAAGTCTCTGCCACTGAACCGAACCTCTGAAGTTGGGGTGAGGGTTGAAGGATATTGTTTTATACTCTAACATGCCCCTGTAGGTTGAGTGCCGGCCGAAACCTGAACTCACATAATGGTATTAATTTTTTTAAATTTGTGACTAGTGGAATTTGAATCTAGGTTGCTCTAATACCATTAAAAGTCCTTTTCACTACACCAAAACTCCAAAGTTGTGGTGAGGGTTTCTTTATTAGCATGCCCCGCAGGTTAAATGCCCCTTTAGGGCATAAACCTGGAACAATGCATGTGGACTGTTTATTTCATTATCTGAATGATTGTTATTTTCAGTTCAGAAACAATGCAATGTCTTTAAACTTTGCCAAAGAAAGATTAAGATTGCTCTAGCTTAAAATAGCACTTGAACTGATTCAGGTTCGGCATGGCTTTAAAAGGGAACTTGGGGGATGCCAGGATTCCAAGATTTGTATCTGTCATTAGCGTGATTGGCTTGTGTTTCTTCTTCTATATTCTTGGGGCATGGCAAAGAAGTGGATCGGGGAAAGGGGACAGCATAGCCCTACAAGTCAATGAGATAACAGACTGCAATCTCATACCAAATCTCAAGTTTGAGACACATCACAATAGAGAAAACATCCCCGATGATGTCTATGACTCAAACATCCGAATGTTCAAGCCTTGTGATGATACCTATAATGATTATACTCCTTGTCAAGATCAAAGGCGAGCAATGACTTTTCCTAGAGAAAATATGATATATAGAGAGAGGCATTGTCCTCCAGATAAAGAGAAGTTGTATTGTCTCATACCAGCACCTGAAGGTTGGGTTAATCCATTTCCATGGCCAAAGAGCCGAGATCTTGTTCCTTATGCAAATGCTCCTTATAAGAGTTTGACGGTTGAGAAGGCAGTTCAGAATTGGGTTCAATATGAAGGAAATGTGTTCAGGTTTCCAGGGGGAGGAACACAGTTTCCACAGGGAGCAGATAAGTATATAGATCAACTGGCATCTGTTATCCCTATTGCTAATGGCACTGTTAGAACCGTGCTGGATACTGGTTGTGGGGTATGTTGACTATTTATTTGGAAATTTTGCTGCTATTACTTTTATTAGTTGCTGGAATTGTTCCCCTTATTGAAAAGTATTCTCTTGAATTATTCTGTTTATCGTCAGTTTATTAGCATATGAAAGTTTCTTTGATGTTTTATAGAACTCGTAAACACAGTAAAAGTGTAGTTGGATATTTAAGAGTAATTGTTTTCTTGAAATGACTTCTATTTGTTTGCTGCCTTTCTCATCATTGGTTAAAGTTGTGCTACGTTATAAACATATATATCTTATATCAACATAGAGATTATGTAGCTTACATATTCCACAGAAATCTTTTTCCTTATTTTTCTTTTATTTACATTTATGTTTACTTTTAAGTAAAATTTTCATTCCTTTTTAAACAAATTAATTACAATGCCTTTTCACAAATGCCAAAATTGTCAGTACAATCACAATAGTATCTAGCAATCCTGTTAACTTACCGTAATCTAGTTGAAATTGCTTTTTATTTAGTTGTTACTGACTGAATGTTAAAATCTTTGCAGGTAGCTAGCTTGGGTGCATATCTATTTAAAAAAAATGTGATAGCCATGTCACTTGCTCCAAAGGACAATCATGAGGCACAGGTTCAATTCGCACTGGAAAGAGGCGTGCCAGCAGTCATCGGAGTTTTTGGGTCCATAAAACTTCCATATCCATCAAGAGCTTTTGATATGGCTCACTGTTCAAGGTGTTTAATTCCATGGGGATCCAATGGTCAGCTTACCGCCAAAAAAATTTCTTTTTTGTCAATAATTTCCCTTGAACTTTATCTCGTTAACATTTTTCATTTTTTTCCAGAGGGAATGTATATGATGGAGGTTGATCGGGTTCTTAGGCCAGGTGGATTTTGGGTGCTTTCTGGTCCTCCGATTAATTGGAAGAGCAACTACTTGGCATGGGAGCGGACTAAGGAGGATCTTGAGGAGGAGCAGAGGAAGATCGAAGAAATTGCTGAACTTCTTTGCTGGGAGAAGTTCTCGGAGAAGGGTGAAATTGCTGTCTGGAGAAAAAGAATAAATGGTGATTCCTGTCCTGGGAGGCAAGATGAAACTCGTGTCAAAATGTGTGAATCAGCACGTGCGGATGATGTTTGGTAAATCTCTGTTACTTGAAGTGTAATCCAAAATGTTATCATATGGAGTAACATCTGTGCACTCTAGAGTAGTCTCTTTCCAAATGAATTATGAGGATTTTTAACCCAACCTCCAAACAATGCCTTAAAACTTTGTCAACTCATTTTTTTGAGTTTTCTTGACTTTGACTCATCCTCAATAGCTTGAGCCCCATGACATTGTATTTTCCACTTTTATGGCTATCCTCCATTTTTTACTAAGACATTTCCATCTGATTATGTGAGTAACATATTGATGAAAGATTACTTAGATGATTTAAGTAATTTAACATCGATAGATGAATCACATGCTCATCATATCCAAACGTGTCTACCTCAGTCAATAGTTTCACTTTTCAGGTACTCTACATTTTTTAAAGTGGAACATTGGTATATTTTTTCCTCCTCCTCCTCCTCCTCTTCTTCTTCTTTTATTATTATTTTTTTTTTGAATTGGAAGTTGCAAAATGAAATACACAGTTTATTGCAATGGTGTTAGGAAGCAATTACAACCTGTAAATAATTTAACAAACTTCATGTCTGCTATTACTGATGCCAATTCACTAGTATAGTATCTGCATCATAAACAACTTGAATGAATATTGCTTTAATATGTTTTAAGCAGTTTTTTTAACTTCAAATATACTTTTCCAAAAATGATATCTAGGATTTCCACTGCAGCCCAGGTGGCACTTGGATGAAATATTGCATCTATTGTACCAATCTTGGTTAAATTATCCTTATTTTACGCCACTAGGTACAAGAAGATGGAAGCATGTGTAACTCCTTATCCTGAAGTTAGTAGTCCTGAAGAGGTTTCAGGAGGAGCTCTAAAGACTTTCCCAGAGAGATTAACTGCCGTACCTCCTCGAATAGCTTCAGGTTCTGTACCCAGGATCTCGGTTGAATCCTATCATCAAGATAACAACTTGTGGAAGAAGCGGATTAAAGCTTACAAAAGTGTAAACCAGTTACTTGACACTGGGAGATATCGGAATATCATGGACATGAATGCAGGATTTGGCAGTTTTGCTGCAGCACTTGAATCTTCCAAATTATGGGTCATGAACGTCGTGCCTACTATTGCTGAGAAATCCATGCTTGGTGTCATATATGAAAGAGGTTTAATTGGGATATATCATGATTGGTATGTTCCTGTTTTCTTGATATTCAGTTATTCATGTAATTCCTGAAATATTCCCAAAATTATTCGTTGTTCTACTAACCTCCTAGTGCTATCTCTCCATTGAAGTCTATGGACAAGTTTATTTGATTATATTTTTCTAGGTGTCCTGGAAGCAAAAATATTAAACTAGATAACTAACAATGCAATGATTTCACAAAAACTGTTGATTACTTATTTTATAATTTCAAAAATACTCTAGACTTTTAGCAAAATCAACTATTTATCATCTGAAAACTTTTTTTTATTGTATGACATGATTTAGCATAGCTGTTCTTGTTTATATTGGTTCAGGTGTGAAGCTTTCTCCACTTACCCAAGGACATATGACCTCATCCATGCTAATGGTGTTTTCAGCTTGTACAGGAACAGGTAAGTCAATGATGGATCATGGTTTTATCCTAATTATTAACAATGTTAAGCACAAGCAAGATTTAGATAAAGGTATGCTTTAGCCTTTTATTTTATATTACTGTCAAGTTGCTAGTGAATTAAAGAACACAAACTGCAATTAAGAAGCTAGAAAATCTGATGAAAACAGAGACAAAGTAAAGACGACATAAACGCAATCTGCAGCCATTTGCAGTCTTTGTTCCTCTATTGGGTTCTTGTTGTCCCTTACATGGTCCGTTGCATTGAGCTTGGAGGTAAGGGACCAAAGACTCAACAATATATTATGATACATGGAAAATCAAAGATGGAGAATAATGTCTCCTTAGCAAATATTTGTGGCTTTGGGATGAGTTTTCCTATTCATGAATGGTTGACATCAGCTTAAAATTATCTGTTTAGAACCAGCATTGATAATGAATGTCATAGAAAACTGGCATTAGGCTAAGGACGGGTGTTTACAATTAATTCACTTGCTTTACGGAGTATTTCCAACTTAACGATCTATATACCATAACTAGTGGTGCAAGCAGATCAGATGTGATACTTTCCTCATCCATATTTGCTTGCTAATCACGGATACAGGTACCAATACATATTTGTCTCTGTAAGGAAAACTCATATCCATATCCACCATGGATATGGCTACTAAAAAGATACGAGGAAAATAGATAAATTTCGTAAAACGTATAGACCATATCATATAAGAGAGTAATATTGAAAAGTGTAAGATTAAATCCCTTGATCATCAAAATTAATCTCAAATACATTACTCTAATGGTCAAAACAAATGTAACTTAATGATCGATATACATTTAGATGTTTCGGTTAAGTGTCTAGATATTTTACTATATATCTGTAAATCCTTATCCTATGGAATACAAATATTTAGGTCATGATTGTATTAAGGACTTGTTTTATCTTGGGATAAGGGTGGCGACTAGGTTGTGTTGGCCCACAACTCATACTAAACCAACTCATTTTGGGTCGGGTTTGACCCGGCCCGACTAAACCAGCTCGTTCTGGGTCCGGTTTGACCCGGCCCAAGGGAATGTGGACCAGGTTTGGCTCGGTTCGATCTCAAAGTGGACCGGGTATGTGCCTGAACACGAACTTGGCCCGCAAACCCAACCTAACATGGATCGAATCCAGGCCTAAGACCTAACTCGCATCCAATCTCCATAATGACATTAATTTTTAGTAAAATAAATTAGTATTAGTAACTAACTGGCTATTAGTAACTATTTAGTAATCTAAAACTAATAACAAAGTTAAATGTGTATGTTTTTAAAGCAAAAGATTGGTAGGTCGAGTCTAAAACCTTTCTCAAGTTGCAACAAAATCGCTATTGATTAGTCGCAATTCATCTAAATCAACTTCTAACAAAAGTCAAAAAATAAAGAAAGAAAAAGAAAAGAAAAGAAAAGTAGTAGGCTAGGTTCACTAACCCGGCCCTACTCGAATGGGCCGGGTCGATAGGCCGGGTTGGGTTGTGATCCCAGCCCAGATACCTAGGGTTTGGCTCAAGCCAAACTCAATGTTGGTCCAGAACAACCTGGCCCGGATCAGCTCAGGACTGGTGGGCTTTGGCCCCTAGTCGACAGTTTTATCTTGGGATTAATTTAACTCATTATAGTCATAAGATATAATAATATAAGGGAGTATAGTGAGTTAAATTTTTAATGATTTGTTTGGTTCAATTTGTTATTGACACCTCTAACACCTATTGTCATGTTTGGTGACTTGTTACTATAAGGTGGTATAGCACTATAATATAACAACAAATGTCCATAATATCCTTCTGCAAATCTTATGAGTTGCTGAAGTTTATATCATGCTGGAGAGGAGTCCAAGAAGCAAACCCCATCTTAGTTATAATCCTATATAATTCTGTGGAATTACCCGACATAACTAGGTATGTATCCATTGAACTAAAAATTATATCACGACGAAGTTAAATAATGTTCACTAGCTATAATGTACATGTGCTAAAATGATGCTATGATGGAAATTGACAAATGTAACTGAGTTGAATTGCAGCTAAGTTGGAATTCAAAGTGTCAGATTACACTGTCAATGAGATTGATAAATTATCAACAAAAAATACGTTCAGACACTAAGCCTCAAATGATTTTAAAGTCAAACACAACTACATGAGGCCCTAAAAGCTTAGAATCATTCCATAATCAATAAAATGGGGTTTGAAGAGATTTGTTTTTGTCGCTTGGAACGTGAGACAAAAGCCGTGCAAAAAGTTAATAAGCTGAAAAAAAGCTGGTGATAAAAATCATTAGAGGGGAAATTTCTAAGTAATATCTAGGAAAGTGAAGGACAAATAGGTTTTTTGGCATCTAATCCCAAAGAAGAAATAGTCCTTGGACCATAATAAACCCCCACCCCACATCTTCAAAAAAAAAAAAAAGGTCCGAAATCAACGGACTGTTTCAATCTAATGGACTAAATAATTCAACCTAATACCCCTCCAAAAATTAAACCAAACACCTTACTATTTTATAATAAAGGATAAAGGGTTATTACCTCAAAATAATAACCAATCAAAAATTCCAAACATGGCCCTAGTGTCCATATCAATAATGGTTACTCATTTGTAATGCTATCTTATTTATCTTCTCTTTTCTTATTGCGTCTGAAGCAGGTGCAAGATGGAAGACATTCTCTTAGAGATGGATAGAATCTTGCGGCCAGAAGGTGCAGTTATATTTCGAGACCGAGTTGATATTCTCGTGAAGATAAAGAAAATCGCTGGTGGCATGAGATGGGATGTGAAGCTTGCGGATCACGAGGACGGGCCTCATGTAAGAGAGAAGGTATTGTATGTTGTGAAGAACTACTGGGTTGGTGGAGGAAACAATACTGCAGAAGATTGAAGGAGATTGACACTGAAGAACTGGATACTCTTTATGAATTTTGCGAGTCAGTTGGATGGATGATCTAGGTATTAACTATGGCATTTTTGACCCTGTTGATAGTAGTTACAGTGGGAGACCTGCAGATATTCTCTTGTAATTTATTTGTTTGGTAATTATTTTTTGAAATAAAAAGTATGTATGTAAATGTTATTCGAAGGAGGCAGCGAAAACTTTGAGCAGTAATTTCCTCCAATCTGATTGATTTTTGAGAGAAGAGAGCTTGAAATTTAACGACTGTATACTCGTACTTCCCTTGTATTAATTCTTATTGCAGTAAAAAAAAAAGTCCTCTTTTTCACTTATCAGCTAATGTTAGCTGCAGTTTATGTGAAGGCACTATGTTTCATATAAAATGAAACTGACCGAAACTCACAAATTTCCAAATAAGCATGAGCAAATTTCTCAATGCATTACAATATAGCCATTTTCTCTAAACATGACACAGAGAAAATTGCATAACGACTGAATTTGAATTGCACGTATTATTTCAAAAGCTTTAGATCGAGCACGAAGGATTGGAACCATGTTTTCAATCTGTTTTCAAGAACTAGATACCATTGTAATCTCAAAATAATGCCATGTGAAATTAAAAAAAAAAAATTTCTCTGTTTATCTTGGTCTTTCCATTATCACCTTCTAGGAAATTTCTTGGGGGTCAGTACTAGTTTCTGAGATTGTTGATTAGCGTAGTACTAGCCTCAATGGTTGCAGGAGCGCTTGTTGTTATCAATAACATCATCTTAGTCCTCACCTATTTCAATTCAAGAGAGAAAAATGAGCAAAATGGATAACTGAACATATTGTTTTCTGGTTATCTATAAATACCCCATCTTCTTTTTTTCTCCTTACAGTCATCTCTCCTAGCTCAGTTTCTCTGCAAGTTATCGGTATGTTTTCAGTTATCCGTAGCTTATCACAATGACTTTAATTGGTAACAGTCTACCATTTGAAATATATAATCTCTAGAAACATAACCTTAGTATAGTTATGAAATGTGTACAATAGATTGCTTTGTAAATTCTATTCCTTTCATCTCATGGGATTCTGTTCGGAATGCGATATCGGTTTTGGAACAAAATTTGGTTTATGTGTGGTGAATAGCTTGTTTAGTTTAGATACCTGCTTGGAGATGGAAGAATGTTGGTGAAAATATTATATTGAACTCTTTGATTACAGGTAAATTAAATGATGGAGATGAGAATGTTATCATGCTTTGCTATACTACTCGTTTTGCTAGCTCATGTGGATGCAAGGAATAAAGTGGAGCCAATACCAACAGATGAAGGTGTCAATTATTATTATTTTTCCTTATCAATACAGTTCATATATTAATTTTTTTTTTCCTTTTAATGCTGGAAGCTTGCGAAACATGCTTGGAGCCTTCACGACATGCCAAGGAAACCTTAAGAGACACAAAACTATTTGAGAAGCTAGGCATGATTTCAACCGAAGTTTGCGATATTTTGCCTTCTGATTTTAAACCTAAGGTACTGATTTTTTTTGCAGAAAACAGTTAATTTGCGCGTACCGAAACATCAACTTTCCTTGTTTTTAAGACCAAACCTGATCCTGTCTTTTTAAACTCTGCAGTGTTTAGAGACGTCAGAGGCATATGTTCATCGAACTAGATTACTTGTTACCGGAATTTTCAGTGAAAAGACTCTCTGTAACAGCACAGGCCTATGCCTTTTGAAATCTATGTTCACAGTTATCAACGGCCTTGCTTCGGTCAACGACAACCCTGAAGAAGAAGACGGCGTAACTTCGGACATTTCTGATTTTTCATCATTTTTTTTACAAATTTTGACGGTTAAATTGTCATGCAATGTCAATTGGTTGAAGTTTTTGTGTTGTGCACCAGGTCGCCGATGAGAGTACATGCGCAGCATGCCGAAGATCAGTGAAGGACATTTTCGCGCAACTAAACAAGCCTAAGATGAGGGTACTCAAAATCCTATTTCAATTTCATCGTTGTTATACTTTTCAAGTGACGTATAAATCTCAACTCCTTACCAGGTGAGGGTGATGGAGTCACTTATCGAATACTGTGAAGAAGTGGAAGACAGTGAGAAAACAGTAAGCCAGCTCTCAAACCAAATGAGTTGAGATTTAAATGAACAATCAAACATATATATTGACCTTTTTATTTATTTTCTTTACGTGACAGTGCAAGCAAAAAGTATACAAGTATGCTCCCATGGTTCTTTCAAAGCTCGAGAAGCTTAAAACGACCGAGTTCTGCCGCATGATGGGGTTCTGTGATGAGGGGACGCTGTGAAATGAGAATCAGTTCTCGGCTACAGGAGTTGAAATAACCGAGAAGGAAACGTATTTTTCCCGCCTCGATCGCCTCGGATGATCTGAATAATTTGTGGCTTTTACGCGCGTTATGGAGATTTGCTTGTGTTGGTTTAATTGGTTGTCACTGTAAAAGAAGGATTATATACAATCTATCATTGTATGAACACTCGATTGTGTTGTAAGAATTGAGATATAGCTATATGTTGATGTTCAAGTTCTTATAATTAAATTCGTAAGGTTTCTCAATTAAGATATAGCTATGTTGATTGTCTTTTAAGTGGACGATGTTGATATCAGCGTATGAATACCATTAGCATAACTAGTACAGTAGCAACGGCAGCTGCATTGTTCATCATACGCACAACTTCATTTCTGTCCATCTTTTTTATATATTGTAAGAAAGTAGTTAGTTTTTGAAAGTAAGAACTATTGTGAAAGTAATAATTGTACCCTAAGAAAGTAGGGGAAAATGTGTCCAGGCCCCAAAAGTGGGAACTTCGTGTGACTAGCCCCCCTGTACTTTGCCCCATGTGGAATAGCCCCAAAAAATGGGCTTTAATGTTTTAAGCCCCCTTCACGTCAGCTTTATACTAAAAGCAGATGGTATTTTACAAAAAAAAACCGAAACTGCCCTTCTCTTTCTTCCCCAGACGAGTCCTAGAAGTCACTTCTCATTAATGCGATATGATGGGGAAAATGGAGGGAAATTTCCCCCTTTTTTTACTCCATCTAACTAGTTAGTTCTCCATTACTCCTCCTCCTCAGACCAAAATTCTCTCCATAACTCTCTCCATCATGAGCAATAACTAGTTAGTTCTCCATTACTCCTCCTCCTCAGATCAAAATGGCTGAAAAGGACATCATCTGCATTGTCTCTTCGCAGTATAAAGCGGTATTCTTGAAGATTAATTCTTCAACCACCATCTTGGATCTCAAGTTTGATGCGGCAGAGAGGTTAGATCTTCCATACGAGTCATTAATTTTGGCATACGAAGATCAAATAGTTGGAAGCTTAAAATTTCTCATTGAGAACGATGGTGATCTGACGTCTATGGTGGAGCATTGCCACAATCTTGGACTGAAAGAGGTTCACGTGCAAGCTTTTAAAGAATGAGATGATTCTTCTAATAAACAGGAAAACGAGCAAGTCCGACAAGGCATGTAGGTTAACTGTAAAATCAATTAACTTAAGTTCTAATCGTCTTCTTGTTAGTTCTATACTAGGTTTAACTGGACTTCAGTTCTAATGTTTTATTTGTCATTAAGCAGTTCTTTGTTATGCTCCATACTAGAGTTCTAATGTTTTATTTGTCAGTTCTAATCGCTATTTTGTTAGTTCTACTAGAGTTATTGCTGGTTCCACTATAGTTCCCATATTGTTAGTCCTAATTGTTATAAATTAGATATAACGTGGTATAAATTAGACAATGTAGGTATAAAATAGAACTAACAAGCCATCAGTTAGAACTGACACTAACACACTACAGATTAGAACTAACACTGTGCATATTATTAGAACTAACACGCTACCGAATAGAACTAACACTGTAGGGGATTAGAACTAACACTCTACAGAATAGAACTAACACTGTGCAGATTAGAACTAACACTGTGCAGATTAGAACTAACACTCTACAGAATAGAACTAACACTGTGCAGATTAGAACTAACACTCTACAGAATAGAACTAACATGTTATAATTTTGAAATAGCTTGTTATAAAATAGAAATAACTTCGTTAAATTAGAACTAACCTTTAATGGCTATATTGTTTGTTCTAATAGCTATTATGTTAGTTCTAATCAATGCACTGTTAGCTCTAATGGTTATATTGTTAGTTCTTTCTAGTTCTAATTGATTCTAACAGCAAGCAATTGTCGTTTTTGCTTTTTAGCTTTTGCTATTATCTGTTGATACTTCTATTATTTGTGCAGTTTGAAATCAAAAAGTGTAGACTGTGGCCCGTCGGCGTTGTTGACCACAAGTGTTCCAGATAAGAATCCCAATGACAATCCTTCCGGAGATGATGTCATGACGATTGATGACATGATTAGCAGATCAGAGAGGATTCCTGCTTGGTGGCACACAGCTTTAACCGGTGAGGGACAACGATTTGAAAGTGCGAAGGAGTTAAGATTGGCCTTGCTATACTACTCCATGGCAAAAAAATTCGAATACGAGTTTGGGAAGAATGAACCGAAGCGTATTCGAGTGTTTTGTCGGTTTAAGGCAGCAAAAAGTTGTCCGTGAATGTTATTTGCCTCTCCACCGAAAAATGATAATAGACTTGAAATCAAAAGGTTTGTGGACAATCACAGTTGTGGGCAGCATGGCAATAATGCTGGTCAATCTAGAGCCTCAAGGTGATTCATTGCTACCTAATTACAACCCACGTTAAAGGTTCGACTGGATATACGGCCTATTGACGTTCAAAAGGAGTTTCTAAGCTCGTATGGGATTAGGGTCGATTATAGTAAGATTTGGTGGGGGTAAAGAAAGAGCACAAGAGAAATTATATGGTGATGCCCATGAGTCCTACGATCAATTACGATGGTAAATAGAAGATGATATATAACAAAAGACAAACTAATTTCCTTTATGTGACGTTGATTATACTAATTTTTCAATGTTGGTACTAACGCTTAATCTTCAATTTTCTAGGTATGTAGAAGAGGTCAAGAAGACAAACCCAGGTAGCTATATTCATGTTGAACAAAATGAGGGGAGGTTTACAAGGTTATTCATATGCTACGCCGCCTGCATAAATGGTTTTTTATACGGCTGTAGACCACTCTTATTTTTGGATGGTACCTTTCTTAAAGATCGATTCAAAGGCATACTCCTAAGCGCCGTAGCATATGATGGAAATCAGGGGATATTTCCATTGGCGTATTGTATATGCGATCAGGAAAATAATGTTAACTGGAAGTGGTTCTTACAAGGTTAGTTCTATCCCTAGCCATGTTAGTTCTGTTGCAGGTTATGATAATTCTAGCTCATTCATTGCTAACTCTAATTCGTGTATGATAACCACAACTCTTTGTAGGTTTGTGGTCTATTCTCTATGAAAGGCCAGATCCATACAACCCTCCACACAAGCTAGTGATAATTTCAGATGCGGATAAGGGGATCAGAGAAGCAGTTAGAGAATTTTTTCCAGATTCTATACACTCTCGATGTGTGTTGCATCTAGTTGAGAACTTCAGGACAAAGTTGAAGGATTTGGGATTCAAATCAAAAGATACTCAGATCTTGGGTAATCTATTGCAATCTGCCTGTTACAAATATACTAGAGCAGAATGGAACGATTACATGGACGACATTAGACTGGTTGACGAAAGAGCTTACAATATTGTGATGAACTACGCTCCAGAAAACTGGGCCAATGCGTTTTTTCCTGGAGTTAGGTAAGTTATAAGCTATTTCATTACATGACTATTATAAGCCGCTTGACGAATTCCCTATTATGTTTCAGATATGGTCACGTTACATCAAATGTTGCAGAGTCATTCAACAAATGGATACATGAGGCTAGGCTACTACGGATACTTCAACTGGTAGAGCACATACGTAAACAGATTATGGTTCGTATGAATGAGCGACGAACCATGGCTGAAAGTTGGAATCAATTTCTTTGCCCCAAAGCTGAACTTGCTCTCAAAGAGAACATGGAAAATGGCCGTCCATTGGAGGTTCGTCAGTCCCACACAGGATTATTTGAGGTACAATCCCATAGATCTTGTCAAGTGGATCTAGACAATAAAACATGCACTTGCCGTGGGTGGGATGTAACCCGTGTCCCTTGCAAACATGCATGCGCATCCATTATGTTTATGAAAAGGGATGTCTACCAGTTCTGTGACTGGTTTATGACGGTTGAAACCTTTAATAAAAGCTACGAGCCAATCCTCTACCCAATCCCTGACTTTGAGAAGCGCATCGTGCCAAGGGATGAGATACAGATCCTACCTCCACTTACAACAAAAAGGAAAGGGAGAAATAAAACCAGGCGTATCAACAACAGAACTGTTTACACGCGGCCAGTAAAATGTTCTCGATGTCATATGGAAGGTCATAACCGTAAAACATGTAATGAATCTATAGCTGACTAAGTGTTTGATATGTTGAAGTGTTTTCGTCCCAGTATGCAACAAATATTTTGTTTTTTTCCGATTGAATGTTTACTCTTTGTTAATCGGGAACTAACATCAGCTTACACTAGATAAAAAGTTGTAAGTAACAAAACAACTATCATATTAGGCCTAACACGCTTAAAAGAATAGAAGTTATTCAATGCACTCGAATAACTAGGAGTAACAAGCCAAAGAATAGAACTAACTTGGTATCAGATAGTACTAACATGTAATGAAGCAGAACTGACTTGGATCGGAACAGGTTACAGAATAGAACTAACACTGTGAAGATTAGAACTAACACGCTACAGAATAAAACTAACACTGTGAAGATTAGAACTAACACTCTACAGAATAGAACTAACACTGTGAAGATTAGAACTAATACTCTATCAGAATAGAACTAACACTCTACAGAATAGAACTAACACTCTACAGATTAGAACTAACACTGTGCAGATTAGAACTAACACTGTGGAGATTAGAACTAACACTCTACAGAATAGAACTAACGTTCTACATAATAGAACTAACACTCTACAGAATAGAACTAACACTCTACAGATTAGAACTAACACTCTACAGAATAGAACTAACTCTGTGCAGATTAGAACTAACACTCTACAGAATAGAACTAACACTGTGCAGATTAGAACTAACACTCTACAGAACAGAACTAACACTGTGCAGATTAGAACTAACACTCTACAGAACGGAACTAACACTGTGCAGAATAGAACTAACACTCTACAGAATAGAACTAACACTGTGCAGATTAGAACTAACACTCTACAGAACAGAACTAACACTGTGCAGATTAGAACTAACACTCTACAGAACAGAACTAACACTGTGCAGATTAGAACTAACACTCTACAGAACGGAACTAACACTTATAACTTGGCATAAAATAGAACTAACATAAATTAGATATAACGTGGTATAAATTAGATATAACGTGTAATAAAATAGAACTAACAAGTCATCACAAGCTACAGATTAGAACTAACACTATGCAGAATAGAACTAACACTCTACAGATTAGAACTAACACTGTGCAGATTAGAACTAACACTCTACAGAACATAACTAATACTGTGGAGATTAGAACTAACACTCTACAGATTAGAACTAACGTTCTACATAATAGAACTAACACTGTGCAGAACAGAACTAACTTGCTATAAATTAGAACTAACTTGGTATAAAATGAGAACAAACTTGGTATAAAATAGAACTAACTTTGTATAAATTAGAACTAATTTGTTATAAAATAGAACTAACTTTGTATAAATTAGATCTAACATTGTATAAAATAGAACTAACTTGGTATAAATTAGGTTTATAACGTTGTAAAAAATAGAACTATCTTGGTATAAATTAGAGCTAACGTGGTATAAATTAGATATAACGTGGTATAAATTAGGTTTATAACGTGATATAAAATAGAACTAACACAAATTAGATATAACGTGGTATAAATTAGATCTAACGTGGTATAAATTAGGTTTATAACGTAGTAAAAAATAGAACTAACTTGGTATAAATTAGAGCTAACGTGGTATAAATTAGGTTTATAACGTGGTATAAATTAGGTTTATAACGTGGTATAAAATAGAACTAACTTGGTATAAATTAGAAATAACTTGGTATAAAATGAGATATAACGTGGTATAAATTAGGTTTATAACTTGGCATAAAATAGAACTAACATAAATTAGATATATAACGTGGTATAAATTAGATATAACGTGTAATAAAATAGAACTAACAAGCCATCACAAGCTACAGATTAGAACGAACACTGTGCAGAATAGAACTAACACTCTACAGATTAGAACTAACACTGTGCAGATTAGAACTAACACTCTACAGAATAGAACTAACACTGTGCAGATTAGAACTAACACTCTACAGAACAGAACTAACACTGTGCAGATTAGAACTAACACTCTACAGAACAGAACTAACACTGTGCAGATTAGAACTAACACTCTACAGAATAGAACTAACACTGTGCAGATTAGAACTAACACTCTACAGAATAGAACTAACACTGTGCAGATTAGAACTAACACTCTACAGAATAGAACTAACACTGTGCAGATTAGAACTAACACTCTACAGAACAGAAATAACTTGGTATAAATTAGAACTAACTTGGTATAAATTAGAACTAACTTGGTATAAATTAGAACTAACTTGGTATAAAATGAGAACAAACTTGGTATAAAATAGAACTAACTTTGTATAAATTAGATCTAACATTGTATAAAATAGAACTAACTTGGTATAAATTAGGTTTATAACGTTGTAAAAAATAGAACTATCTTGGTATAAATTAGAGCTAACGTGGTATAAATTAGATATAACGTGGTATAAATTAGGTTTATAACGTGATATAAAATAGAACTAACACAAATTAGATATAACGTGGTATAAATTAGATCTAACGTGGTATAAATTAGGTTTATAACGTAGTAAAAAATAGATCTAACTTGGTATAAATTAGATCTAACGTGGTATAAATTAGGTTTATAACGTGGTATAAAATAGAACTAACTTGGTATAAATTAGAAATAACTTGGTATAAAATGAGATATAACGTGGTATAAATTAGGTTTATAACTTGGCATAAAATAGAACTAACATAAATTAGATATATAACGTGGTATAAATTAGATATAACGTGTAATAAAATAGAACTAACAAGCCATCACAAGCTACAGATTAGAACGAACACTGTGCAGAATAGAACTAACACTCTACAGATTAGAACTAACACTGTGCAGATTAGAACTAACACTCTACAGAATAGAACTAACACTGTGCAGATTAGAACTAACACTCTACAGAATAGAACTAACACTGTGCAGATTAGAACTAACACTCTACAGAACAGAAATAACTTGGTATAAATTAGAACTAACTTGGTATAAAATGAGAACAAACTTGGTATAAAATAGAACTAACTTTGTATAAATTAGATCTAACATTGTATAAAATAGAACTAACTTGGTATAAATTAGGTTTATAACGTTGTAAAAAATAGAACTATCTTGGTATAAATTAGAGCTAACGTGGTATAAATTAGATATAACGTGGTATAAATTAGGTTTATAACGTGATATAAAATAGAACTAACTTGGTATAAATTAGTAAATTAGATCTAACGTGGTATAAATGAGATATAACGTGGTATAAATTAGGTTTATAACTTGGTATAAAATAAAACTAACACAAATTAGATATAACGTGGTATAAATTAGATATAACGTGTAATAAAATAGAACTAACAAGCCATCACACAGGAAAAAGAGTTGAGACCAAGCTGTTAGCAAATCCTTGCATTACAGCACTGCTGCCTAGTTCCGAGCTCCGATCGCCGACGAACTAAGCAGACCCGAACTCCATTACCCCGAGCTTCTACTGCGAACTGAAGCTCTCCAGCAACCTCATTCAAACGGTCCAAGGGAAGCAGACTCGACCCGAGCATCGAGCGAAGCGTCCTATAGCCACCTAAAGTCCCCACACAAAACAAAGAGGGCCTTCCCTCTGCTTCTGTTGTAAACATTTGATTTGTTAGTTTGTAATAAGCTTTCTTATAAATACAAACGAAACTCCTTTCTTCGGAAGAATCAAATTTTCACCCTACAGAGGATGGCGACCACAGTGGGTCGATAAAATAGGCGCGCCTTCTGTACTCAACTCCTTGATTGAGGAGGGGTGACGATCTGCAGATCCGGACTCATTAGAGGCCGGAAGGGAGTTGCAAGGTTCAGCTACCGCAACAACGGGGGCGTTGATCTTCCTTCAAGCCTCCGCACCCGAGGGTTCCAACCGAGTCTCATCGGAGGAGCCCACTCCCTCGCAATCGATCAAGGCCAAGCCAGAGATCGAGCGCAAGAGGCAAGGGTCTGCCAGATGGATCGCCAAGCGGTCCACACAGACACCTACCTCGGAGGAAGCGCCGGTTCACCCCGGCACAAACCGCAATACCACAACCCATGGTGACGTTCTCCCCGTTGGGAGAACTAACCAACAGCGACGGCAAACACCCGTCAGACAGGGGGTCCAAACCTCCATTTCTCATAATGGCCTGAACCATCACACAGGCCCGAAAAATGCCAGGCAGGAAGGCAAACTACCCGACCTCGGAAGGCCCTCCAAATCAGGAGCGTCAACCGAGGACAGCAGAGCCATCCGCTCAGGAGGACTTCGCTTCTCAGGTCATATCCCTGATGCGAACAAACCACACCGAGCATACGAGCCTACCCAAGTAGGCGAATCCTCGAAGGCTGGCGAGCCTCGCCATAATCATTTGGCGGATAAACGTAAAGGAAAGGAAATAGGCGGTTCCTCCCGAACCCGCTCTTCTAAACATGGGGTCGAAACTCGCCCACGTACTGGAGTTCGCTCAAACGCGAAGACTCGCCAGTCAAGGCGAGATCGCCCGACTCCAACACCAAGGCGTTCCACCCAACGAACGCCAGAGAGAGCGCCCAAAAATATCTCGTCAGCTCACCAGAGCGATTCTTCTGAGGCCGGGGGTTGTCACCAACCACCCGTAGAAGACCTCAGAGAATTCTTGACTCGCAAACGCACTATTCACGAGGCGAATCCTCAGTGTCATTGCGAGAGACTCATCCACACGGTCCTCGCCGACTGCCAATGCGTTGGAACGGCGAAACCTTCGGTATTTGAGAGGCTTTCTCAACAGGCCTCTCGACCGAGGCCCTCCCGTCGAAGGCGCCGTCACCAGAAAAGACGCGCTGCTGACGACCTGGAACTCTCATCCGCCACAGTCAACATGACGGATAAAGGGAAGGCGGTACTCTCCGACTCGCCAGACTCGGACTCCGTCTTAAGACCTAACACCCGGTCTGCCCGACGCCGGCAGGAAGGCATATTCCAGCGAACCCGTAGTCGCAGGGGAGTAAGTATCGGGTTTGACTATTCCACCCTGGTACCTCCCTCCT